GATGCATATACACATACAAAGTCTTTTGGTGGATCACTTCCCATCCCACCCCCACCCCCGCCTTCCCTCTGAGATTCCGCACTCTGTTCCCTGCTTCCATGTCTCTGCAGCCACTCTGTTCATCAGTTTATTTTGTTAATCGGATTCCACATGTGAGTGAGATCATGTGACACTTGTCTTTCACTGACTGACTTACTTCACTTAGTGTGATCCTCTCCAGGTCCCTCCATGCCGTCTCAAGGGTAAGAGATTCTTCTTTCTCAAAGTTGCTGCAGCTATTCAGGCTCTTTTTTGATTCTGTATAAATTTTTGGAGTATTTGTTCTAGGTCTGTGAAATATGCTGTTGATATTTTAATAGGGATTGCATCGAATCTGTCGATTGCCTTGGGTAGTATGGACATTTTAATGACGTTGATTCTACCAATCCATGAACACGGGATAGTCTTCCCCTTGTGTAGATCTTCTTCTATCTCTTTTTTCAACGACCTGTAGTTTTCTGAGTACAAGTCTTTTGCCTCCTTGGTTAAGTTCATTCCTAACCTAATTTTTTTGTTGCAATGGTAAATGGGACTGTTTAGTTTCTCTTTCTGAGAATTCATTATTGGTGTGTAAAAAAGCCACTGATTTTTGGGTGTTGATTTTGTATCCTGCTACATTGCCATAAATCTAGTAGGTTTTTTGGTGGCGTCTTTAGGGTTTTCTATGTACAATCTCATGTGAATAATGAGAGTTTTACTTCCTCCTTTCCAATTTGAATGCCTTTTATTTCTTCTTGTTGGATTAGAGACTTAAATGTAAAATGTGAAACTATAAAACGTCCAGAAAAAACAGAAGTGAAAATCTTTGAAACTTAGGGTCAGGCCAGGAGTTTTCAGAGTCGGCATCTAAAAAAAGGTGTTCCGTTGAAGTGATTAATTGGACTTTACCCAAATTGGGAACTTCTGTTGTATTAAAGACACTGATAAGAGGAAAAGACAAGCTAGGGACCGAGGGCCAATATGCACTGACCAGACTGGCAAATGGAAATGCCAAGAACACAAAGAACTTGCCAAAGTCAAAAAGAAGGAGCTGGTGACAGATCTGAACGGCCGCAGAGGACCGAGCCGCCAGCAGAGTCCAGCATCGGCAGCCACAGGAAATAGGCGATGCCAAGACAAGGCTGGGCACACCCAGTGCTGATACGGAGGACACAGAGGAACCCAAGCCTCTCGTTCTCACCCCACCCGCCTCCCTAAGCTCCACACAGGCTTACGCGTGGCCTCGGAGTGGCGCCCGGCCCTCCCCGAGCATGGGCGCTGAAGCCACGCAGCCGGCTCCACGTCACAGCAGCTCCAGGCACAGCGCCCACAGCCAGCAGGGTCCTCAGCAGGCGGGCGGTCCCCGCAGGCCCGCGCTTCCTCTGTGCACTGAGCACGTCCACGACCTCACAGGTGCTAAGCCGGGTGAGCCCAGGTGAGGAGCCGCCGCCCACTGTCCCGTCGGCCCCAATGGCTCTCCGTGGGAAAGGCGACCCTCCCCTGGGCCAGCTCCTCAGCCCTGCGCTCGGCTCTGCCGGTGACAAACGGTCGTGGTTTCCTTGATCTGACAGCACGACGTCCCTCCACCCCCGAAGGACACTTCCTCGCCCGCCGCTGACAGCTCCCCCCCTCGGAACCTGGTGCGTGCGTGGCATCCGGCCTCCTGGCTGCGGATGAGCCGTGGTCGCTGTCATCGCGCTGCTCCCTCGCTCCTGTCAGATGCTCCCTGCGTCTCTGACTCAGGGACTGACTGGCAGGGGCCATGGGTGGTTTTCTAGGGTGGGCTCACCCACACTCGGCACTGGGTGTGCCCGCCCACCTCCCCTCTCCCACCGGGACTCCACCTGGAAGGCCGCCTGGCTGTCCCCAGGACCTGCGGCTCCGTCCTCGCTGCTCCTTCCCGGTCGGCCTCCCCTCCGACAGTGACTGCTCCTGACCTGCCTGAGTCACGCCTCTGCGCTGGGACCTGCTGCTGAGCCAGCCAGCGCTTCCTGCCACGGTCACTGTACTGTCCAGGTCTGCACTTGGTTTGATCCTTGAAAAACATTTTCTATTCTTTTGTTGAGGGTTACACTCTTTCATTTGTTGACAAGGACACATACTTTACTGCAGCCATTTTACACCGGCTCTAGCGTCCTGGTCGGGTAACGGTGCCAGTGACGGCTGTCCTGGCTCTGGGCCGTGACTCCTGGCGCTGGGCACAAGGAGGGGCTGTGTGTCCCGCGCACTCTGGGCCCCACACTGTGAGGTCTGCGTCCCCGTGCCTCCCGGCCGGCGGCCCCTCTCAGACGGGGCTGTACCTGGGCCTGTGGCTCCTGGCAGAGGGACGAGGGTCGGCAGGGCCCTGCTCGGGTTGTCAGCGCGTCGACCCGCTTGTTAAAGCGCAGCCACAGCTCGAGACTTGGAGGGCGGCTCCTGGCAGCAGGAGCGGGAGCCGGTCAGCTCCAGCTGAGGCCTCGGTGCTGCCATCAAGTCTTCGAGTCCCCGCTTGTCCCTAAAGGAGCGGTTTCGTCTACGTAGTTTTACATGTGCCTGGGACAGACCCATGCACTTAGTAAGTTATACAGCCAACGCGCTTTCTACACAGATCCATGTGCATGCGTGTGTATGTGTATGTGTGTGTGTGTGCACGTGTGTGCGTGTGCACGACAATGGTACCACCTGTGTGTCCTTCCAGAACCTCTCCCCACACGAGGTGGCAGCAGCAGGAGGGAGGGTTGGCACGAAGGCCGGAGGCCCCCACACAGCATAGGAGGGGGATGGAGCAGGAAGGCTGGGCTGTGGGGCACCCTCCTTAGGGTGTGTCAGTGGCCCTCCCCCAGCCCGCCCCCCAAAACCAGAAAGGCTGCCTCTCATGCCCCGTGTGGCTTCTCGGGAAAGACACAGCACACCGCCTAGACTGGCCCGAGGGCGCTGGGCCCACAGCCATCGTCACACTGGCGACAGGGGACACGGAGGCACGAGGACACGGCTGGGCATTTTCCGTGATGGGCGGGGCAGCCGCCTGAGAGTCTGGCCCAGAGTGGGGACACTGTGCAGAAGGTGCTGGAAGCTGGGGCACCTGGCGGTTTTGGATGAGACAGACGTGGAGACATAACGGGGCGCAGGGGTGAACCCTGGCCAGGGAGGAGGGGCCACTGCACGCCCTGCCTGGCCCGGGGTCCTGTCCCTGTGCTGGGGCCCCTCCCAGAGCCTGTCCTCAGCCTGCTGCCAGGGCTCAGGGGAACCCCAAACGGGGCGGCGGGCATGCAGTCAGACCCACTCCAGCCCCCCAAGAGCAGCTCCTCCTGGCGGAGCGTGTCCACAGACGGCGACCTGATTTCTGTTAAGGAGCCAGTCGCTTCCCACAGCTGATTCCCCTCCTAGCGCGTCAAGATGTTGATGATAAAGCCTTTATCTTCGATTTTACGAAATAAGCCAAAATGCCTGAGTCCAAAGCGTGCCAGCCCACACATGCTGGACGCACGCCTGGCCGCGCTCGGGTCCAGCAGACGCGACTGTCTGAGAGAGGGCAGCGGTGGCGGCACGGGCCCCGGCTCCCAGGCGGCTCCTGGGAGGAGGCACCACCCCTGCCAACTGGGGCTGGGGATTGAACCTGAAGCTGAGGCTGTGCCTGTGACTGGTAAGCGGACCTATGACCCTTTGGGCTGAGGGCTGGTGCTCTAACCATTGAGCACTGGCCAGGTCTGTGCTTACTCTTCACCCTGCACCCAGAGAGTCTGGGGGACAGTGTCCACTTGCCCATCGGCCACTGGGGACGCAAGGAGCCGGGAGCAGGCGGTCAGCACGGCCTCCGGAGGACCTTCCTAAGGACGAGCTGCGGGTCCAGGTGGGGAAGGGGCTGGGAAAGGACTGCGGCGCCTCCTCCCGACAGCGCAGGCGCCGGGGGGGGGGGGCCCAGGGAACCGGACAGTGTCCATGGCCACGCATCGGGGAGCCGCCTCGCAGGAGGAAGCGTCCGGGCGGGCTGCTGCTCTGCGAGCAATTGTCCCTGGAACCGGGAGCGCACACCTGCCGCCCTGGAGGCCGCACGAGGCAGAGAGCTCTGCTGGCCACAGACAGGCCCCGGGGCACTGCGGCAGGAGCCCAGCTCTCTGAGCCCCGGGGACACCGAGACGCCGGCTAGCGCCAGCCTGCAGACGGACGGGAAAGGCCCACCGTGGGCCGTCTGTGCAGAGGAGCTGAGCGTAGGGCAGGGGCTGGAGAAGACGGTGTCCCCGGAAGGTGGGCCGGGGAGCGGGCGGGTGGGATGTACCTGAGCTCGCTCGCCTCCTCCCGGGACAGCAGGACGCTCTGCTCGGCGGGGCCCGCCTGGGCCTGCAGCACCTTCAGCTCCATCTCCAGCTGCGGGAAACAGCACAGGGTCAGCCAGGAGCGCGGGAATCCCTCCAGACAGAGGCCCTGCACGAGTTTACCTCCTAGCCACCCACTGAAGAAGCTCCGTAAACACGTCGTATGTACCAGGAGGAAGCCCGGGAGGGTGTGCAGAGGCTGCTGGGAGCTGAGCATGAGGACGGTTCGGTGGGCGACTGGGTGAGCAGCTGGGTCATGGGAATGGGGCAGGGGGTGCCCTCAGCCAGGCCCGCTGGAGCAGAGCCCCCGGCCATGTGCGCTGGCTCACGTGCTGTCAGCCAGCGCAGGGCGACAGGAAGACAAATGCACTAACCCTGCAGCCTGCAACCACCCGTTCACACTTCACCGAGAAAAATCCGCATGGAATTGCTTTAAAAACAACACAGGACTAACTGATTGCATCTTCTGAGAGAGCCCGCTAAAGGCCCGAAGCCGGGAGCCCTGTCCCAGGACCATCCTCCTCCCAGTGAAAGGACGGCGCCCGCCGGGCACAAGGCGACCGGGACGGGAGCGGCCGGGCCCTGGGCCTGCTGCTGGCAGAGCCCTCTTCCTAATCACATCTCCAGTAGTGAGGGCCCGGCCCGCACATGTCCCATCTCCAAAGCAAATGCACAGATTGACATTCCTTCCTCGGCGCCTCTCCTAAGTGAAGAGCACAATTACCCGCAGTGCCTGCTCCAGGCGAATCGAGTGCCAGGGGAGCGGCTGCTGCTTAGACCACTGCCCAGGAGCTGCCGGCCGCTGCATGACACGGGAAGGAGGGCCTCCCGGCCCCCAGGAGCGCCAGGCGAGTGAGCCCTCAGCACCCGAAGGCCCTGGGCCAGCGGCTCATCCTCGGCTGCTGCGGCCCCTGCTCCTGCTCTGCAGGAGACACTGGTCACGGTGTGGAGGGGCACAGCGCCCGGCACAGCCCAGCCCTCGGCAGCTGGGAGCGTCCTCCTGCCTGTGAAGGGGGCACCCACCTGCTTCCCACAGGAGCCGGAGGGTTAACCCAGGGCTCCAGGCGCCTCCAAGAGGCGCTGCCTGGGGGGCGGGCGGGCACAGCTCTGTGAAAGCCCTGAGAGGGAAGGCCCAAGAGCTGAGCACTAACGCGTCTCCCCGGCCACAGGGCTTGCCCGGGGTCTCGGGGTGAGGTCTGGCGGGTGAGGCCGGTGGGGCCTGTGCTGCGGAGGTGGTGGCGGATCTGAAAGTTCCTGCTACAGAAACGGCCTCCCCCAGGTTCCTCGGCCGAGGGGCCTCTGCTGGGTCTCAGGGAAACAGCCCCGTGTGTCTGGGCACAGCGGGCACGGCGGGCACAGGGGGCACAGGGAAGCCCAGTCACGTTGGGCAGGAGACGTGGTGCCGCAGCGGCCGGGTCCCCTCGCAGGGAGCGAGCACGGGGCAGACCCGGGCTTCCGAGTATCAAGGGGGTTCCACGCCCCACAGCCGCCATGAGGCAGGGGCCTGGACAGGATGGCCGGCTGGTGAGGACTCGGACCTGATCCGGAAGCGGCAGCGTGGCTCCCGGCACAGGGAGCCTGGGGCTGAGCGCTGAGGCCGGGAGTGTGAACGGGAGAAGTGCCAGGACTGAGCACGGCCAGGACCAGGGCGGCCGCGGGTCCCCAGCTGGAACTCCTCCCATCAACGTGGAGGTGAGCCCGCCAACCTGCACGTGGCGCTGTCCCAGAGGCGGCATTTGGGACAGTCTGAGTGCCATCTTCCTGGCGCCCGGCGGGGCCCAGGGCGGGTGTGGAGCTGCAGCCAGGGAAAGGCAGCCCAGGCACCTGACACCGGGAAGCACCAGCCTGAGGGACGTGACCGAGGCCCGTGAAGGACTCCCGCCTGGATCTCGGAGGGAGGGACTCACCCGCCGCCCCGCCCCGCCCCGCCCCGCCCCCGGGCTGACCCCGCAGGGCTCCCCTGGCGGCCAGGAGCAGGCCCAGGGGACCACTGAGGAAAACGGGGCTCAAGGAAGAGGACGGCTTCCTGGCAGGTGCCGTGAGGGGTCAGGGCGTCTTAAATCAGAAAGCGAGTGGCTACTCTCCTCCCTGAGGCACACACAGCCTCAGAGGACGCTTGTACTTGACTTCTCCAGCCGCGGCCAGGCCAGGGCAGCGCTCCCTGCAACAGCCGCTCCTTAGCGGAGGTGGGTGCGCTGCGCTGACAGAGCAGCAGGGCTTGCTAAGGAATGGCAGCCACACTGCGCGCCTGTCACTGTGGTGAGCTGAGGTGTCGAGGTTTCTCCTCCCCTCCTCTCCTGAACCTGCGCTCACTCGGCCAGAACCAGCAGGCGAGGGAGGGGCTGTGGCTGGGAGAGACCCCAGGAGGGGCCATGCCCAGCGACCGGGCAGAGGCCTGCAGCCTGCAGCGGTGGCCACCCTGAGCCCTGCTGTCCTGGGACTAGACCCGCCGCAGCAGGGAGGCTGCCACTGGAACGGGGGGCCAGCCCCAGAGCCAGGCCGGTGGCTCTCGGCTCCTCCCACACAGGTCACAGTGGACAAGAAACTGCCCCTAAGCCAGGGGGAGGCATGGCCCTGGGGTGCCGCTCCCTGCAGAGCCGACAGCTCTGTCACCCCAGACCCCACCCTTCCCGCCTGGCCTGGCCTTTAGCTCCACGAAGCCCGGATGGATGAGGGCGGTGCAGGGAGCACAGAGGCCCCGGCCCCAGAGCGCGAGCGCCCGCCTGCACACGCGTGGAACTGCACTTCTCCTCTTCCCTTTAACCGGGAAGGAGAAGAGACGTGAACAGCGTGAACCAGGCTGCAGATGAGGCCACCAGAGGCTGAGCTCACCCCTGAGGGACAGCTGCGCCCAGACCTAAGGCAGTCGAGGGAGCCAACGCAGGGCCCCCGCCGTGCCCTCCTGCCCTCTCTGCAGCTCCACAGGGACAGGCCCGTCTCACCTGAAGCTGCGGGGAGCACCCGGCAGGCTGGGGTGCCAGGCCCACAGGGGCGCTCACCTAGGCCGCCCTCAGAGTCCCCGGGAGAAAGGGCCCTGCCAGCGCCCAATGCGTTCTAATTTGTCTGGAGGGACCAGGCATCAGTGTTCTAGTCCCGGGGGCTTCACCAGGGGCAGAGACTGTGCGGTCAAAGTGAGACCCACACAGGCCGCATGCAGCTGTCCTGCAGCCCCTCGTCCCGGGGCCGATGGCATGGCCCCTGCAGCCCAGGTCAGAGCACTGCTTTCGGGCCCCCGACTCCGCCACCCCCCCAGGCCCATGTCGGTGCCGGAGCTGCCTGACGGGGCTCAGCCTCAGGCTCTGCCTCCTCGGTCGTGAGGCTCCAAGGACACGAGGACACGGATGCTCCGCTAGCCTTGACTCCGGCTGCGGCCTGGCGCCCCATGTCCACAGCATCTCAGACCCAATGTTTCCCTCCAAACTTGCCCTCCCCAAGCTTCCCTGACCCCTGACCCTGATGTCACCCCTGACCCCGGGCCCTCTACCTTCAGTGTGACCACTCCCCAGCACTGTCCGGCCACCCCTCATCTTCCCCTGCCAGGCCCTGCACACAGGCAACCCTTGGGCCTCCAGGGCTGTGCCAGCCCGCAGTCCCGTCCC